CCATTTTGTGAAAGTTGTTGTGGAATTTGGTTATAAATATGACCTGGTTGGGAGGCTCTGTGCTATTGTGTGTTTGGGGTCTACCCTTGCGGTAGAAGGAGTGGGCCTCATCTACTAGCTTGTGTGGGTAACCTTTGTCTAGGAATTTCTTTATTAGAATGTTGCTCTGGAGATTGTAATCTGAATCTGTGGTGCAGATTACTGAGACGACAGAATTGTCCTTTAGGTATATTTTGGATCCATTTGGGGTGGTGGCAGCTGTTGAAGTGGAGGTATGAGTTGCCAGATACGGGTTTGAAGTGGTTTTTTGTTAATATTTGGAGATTGTCATGGTATAATTCAAGATCTAGGAATACAAGAGTATGTTTGTGGTGAGTGGAGGTGAAGGACAGTCCAAAAGGGTTTGAATTCCAATGGGTTACAAACTGGTCTACGTGTGATATTGGTCCATCCCAGATGACGATAATGTCATCTATGTAACGGCCATAAAAGATGATGTGGGCGGCAAAGGGGTTGTTGTGCCATATGTGTTTGTCCTCCCAGAAACTTATAGTCAAGTTGGCATATGAGGGTGCGAAGTTGGCTCCCATGGCTGTACCTTGAGTTTGTAAGTAGAAATCGTGGTTGAATGTGAAGTAATTGTGTTTGAGGCAAAATGAAGTGGCATCTACTATAAAGGAAGATTGTTTGGGGTTGAGTGATGGATCCAAGGATAAATAGTGCTGGATGGCGGTGATGCCTACATCATGGGGTATCGAGGTGTATAGGGAGCAGACATCTAATGAGACCCCACAATAGTCGGGTTCCCAGGAGTATGTTTGGAGTAATTCTAGCAAGTGTCCGCTGTCCCGGATATATGAGTGTTGAGCCTGTGCAAGGGGTTGTAGGAAGTGGTCGATATATTGGGAGAAACCGCTGGTAATGCTCCCTGTGGCCGCTACGATTGGTCTTCCTGGTGGATTATTTGGATTTTTGTGTACTTTGGGGAGAAAGTAAAAATACGGGGTGTTGTAGAAGTCTTTAGATAGAAAAGAGGCTTCCTGCTTGGTGATGACACCATCAAGTAAGGCTGTGTTCGTTAGTAGTAGTGCGTCCTGTTTGAATTCGGGTAGCGGGTCTTTAGTTAATTTGGTATACGTGGATGTGTCTGAGAGGAGTCTGAGGGCTTCGTCTATGTAATCAGTGGTGTTAAGAAGTACAATGCCGCCACCTTTTTATCGGCGGGCTTGATAATAATGTCCTTATTGTTTGATAAAGTGGTAATGGATTTTTTTACAGTGTTTGGTAGATTAGAGGCGGAATGGTGTTGGTTGGGATTGCACAATTTGATGAATTCCGAGTAGACTACTCTATAAAAACTTTCCAGGTAGGGGCCCTTAGAATGTGTGGGATTGAATACTGATTTGGGTCTGAGCGTACCTACTCATTCAAAGAATTTTACCACTGCTCCACTGATCATGTGATCTACTGTATATCCTGCCCTTGCGGCCTCCTATATGTGGGACGCACCATCAGACCCCCCTCCGCGCCAGGTTTGGCGAGCACAGACGTCTTATTGAAGATGGTAAAGACAAACATAGCGTCCCCCGCCACTTCCTTGAATATCACCAAAAATCCACTGATGGCCTACAAGTATGGGTCTTAGAATCCATACACAACAATCTCTCTGAGTCTGATCGTTTCAAAAAACTCTGTTCACAAGAAACATATTGGATATTTACATTAGATACATTGTCCCCAGGTGGACTCAACGAGGAATTAGACATTAACACTATACTATAAACACTACAATCTCCCATTCACAGCCACTCAACACTCACAATGATACTTCCCCCCCCCCCCCTTTTTTTTTTTTTTTTTTTTTAAATCAAATTTTTTATCAAATTTATTAATCAAATTTTTTTTTTTTTTTATTCATTTTTTTTTTTTATTTTTTAATCCAATTTTTAGTTTATTATTTATAACCTTTTGTTCATTATTTATATTTTATTCTGCTTTTTACTATTTTTTACAATGTAATTTACTCTTTATAATGTCATTTGCATGTATTATTACCAATATGTTTATCATCTTACCATGTTAACACCCATTGTCAATATACCCGCTAGCAACATGTATATATGTTAGAATTATTATGAAGCTCCTGTAGAGCCATAACCATATCCCACCTTGCAATAATGCTGTATTGCCACTAAATATTTGCTCACTACTGTTACATAATTGATGTGCCAGTGCTGCAAGGTGAACATTTTACCCCACTAATCTCCCAGAATATATTTTTTTTTTTTCTTTGTTTCCTTTTGTATTTTTATTACCCCCATCAATTTTTTTCACATAGTTTCTTCGATTTTCAGCTGTTCAAAAATCTTTTATTAATGTCATTTTTCATTTCATTAATTTTTTATTTTTTTTTTTCCATTCATCATTTTTCTTTCGTCTTCTGTTTTCTTATTTATTACATCCTCTCTTTTTTCCATTTGGTTTCCTTTACCCCCCCATTTAACATCCATGACTTTACACTATTCACCTGACAGCAATGGTCAATCACTGGTTAATTGGTTAATTGATCAATTAGACTCACGTTCCCTATATATTCACCCCTGTTCATCCACCTCCCCCTGCTTGAAAAAGGAGTGCACTTCCGCCTTCCACGGCCAGTGCATGCTCCGAAACGCGTTGCAGTGCACCCTGGGATCTGACGTCATCACGGCCACACCGCCGCTACGTTCCAGCGTGCGTTCCATCCGGCTCTGAGGGAGGACATGCATGCCGGCCGGCCTCACCGCTGTTCCCCTCCAGCCACCACGCTGTTCCAGCCAAGAGCTGACCTCCCCACATCGCAGTAAGATGACGGCTCTTCACCCGGGTTACCACCCCACCGTTAACTATTGTTAACCTCGGTTTTTAAGCTTATGATTACTTCACACATGTGAGTGTTTCTACATTTAGACTTGAATAAAAAGACTTATTGCACTTAGAGGCGCTTCTCTCCTTTTTCTCGCCAGTTTTTTTTGGCATAACATTTTGTTATGGGATGTTTTGAATTATTCTTAAAGGGACAGCACATTGTGTTTTTTTTGTTAACCAGTTCACTGTTTGTTTGACTGTTTTGTGGCCAAATTATGGCTAGAAGAATTTAAAGAGAAAATGCCCTGGCATTTAAGAATTTCAGTTCCCACCACCTGCTGGCACTCTGCACAGTAATTCCCCTGAATGAGAAAGCCCTATATGCCTGAACATTTTTGGTAGTAGTCCATCTATGGCAGCCAGCAGGCTATAACCAGCCAGAGAGCCATCATTTGGGAAACACTGACCGAAATCAACACATTTTCAGTAATGCATATAAAAAAATTTTCATGTAAAATACAGACTACCATTTCTTTGAGGAAAACACTATTTTTTGGACTCCATGGGCTTGATTTGTCAAAAGCAAATAGACTGTACACTTTCAAAGGGATGTTGCGCTTTGCAATACATTTATTTATTTCAGGTACTTATATAGCGCCGTCAATTTTATGCAGCGCTTTACATACATATATTGTACATTCACATCAGTCCCTAGCCCTCAAGGGGTGTACAATCTAAGGTCCCTAACTCACATTCATACATACACATACTAGAGCCAATTTAGACAGGAGCCAATTAACCTACCAGCATGTCTTTAGAGTGTGGGAGGAAACCGGAGTACCCGGAGGAAACCCACACAGTCACAGGGAGAACATGCAAACTCCAGGCAGGTGGTGCCGGAGTTGGGATTCGAACCAGCGACCCTAGTACTGCCAGGCGGAAGTGCTAACCATTTAGCCCCTGTGCTGCCCATTTTCCACAGAGCTTAGTGCATGACCAAAACTCTGCTGACTTTCCTCATTCAATGATGTGCAAGTGAAATGCTGTTTTTCTTATTTTCGTTGCACATAATTGGGTGTTCTTTGCAAAGTGAAATTCCACCACACACTATGCTCTAGGGAAAAATCCTTTGCAAAGTGTTATTAACATTGCAAAGTGAACAACCTTTTTGCCTTTAGTAAACCAACCTTCATGCCTCCAACATCCAGGCACAACAGGATCTGTATTTATCTAGTGTTCCACCTCATTTTATAATAACTGAATAGGTCTGAAGCAGAAAAGCTCCTATAATGCAGTAAGAGTTTGCATTCCCTGTATCTGTAAGCTGTGCAAGCAGTTACCATGATGCAGTGTAAGGGGTGGGCACAAGCACACATATTTCAGGGTGTCAGGCTCTGGACTGCATGTTAGCTGCTGGCTCATTACAAGGAGCAAAGGTAAAGTGTTTATTGCATTTTGTGATCTTCATAGCTGCTGGCCATAAAATCGGTATACGTTTTTCCATCAGTCATAGGCTGCTCATACATTATACAATTTTCTTTTAGATTTACAAAAACCATATAACATGAGGTCAAACCTAAACACTTTCAATTTGTGTGCAATCTTGCATGCCCTTTCACTACATAGTTGAAGGTAAATCTAAAGGAAATTGAATAAAAAAATTGCATAATGTATGGCCAGCCTAAAGTTTTTTTTTAACAGGACAGGTGTACCTTTAGCTCACCGTTTCCTAAATAATCCCTCGGTTTATAATCTAAATGCCAGTAACGCTCCCCCCTCAACCCAGCTGCTCACTTCTGATCACTTATGAAGTCCAGGGAAGGTCAGTGTGCAGGCTCAGTCAGCACCACATGGATTTTCACCAGAGGAGGCTTCGGATCTGGAACCATGATAAGTAAGCAGCTGGAGAGGTAGGTGAATGAAGGGCAGTGCTGTTTATCATCCTTTAAGAAAAGAAAAAAGATGTTATACAGTATATCATTATAAGTTTCCAATTTACTTTTTTACTTTTATTGCCTTTTTCTTGATTTCAGCTATTTGTCCGAGCTATGGCAGATTACTGGCCTCAGCAGGACCCAGCTATTCCCTGTGCTGATGCTGGTTTACCTTTCAAAAGAGGGGAAATCATGCAAATAGTTGACCAGAGTGACAACATGTGGTGGCAAGCAAGAAAAGCCTCAGATCTCAGTCGGTGTGCAGGTCTCATCCCATCTAACCACCTTCTCAAAAGGTAATTGTTGCCATGTTCACTTCTAGAAAAGTATAAAGTAGAAACTGCAATCAGTTTTTCTTGAAGGATTACTGAATACTAAATAATACAATGAAGATGGTTACAGTACAGCCATATGGTTTAAGAGTATTTCAAATATACTTTGTGTTCCAGGAAACAACGAGAATTTTGGTGGTCTCAACCCTTCATGTCTCACACTTGTCTTAAAGCATCACAATGTGAGTATCTCCCTGTCTCTTGGCTGCCACTTTCTCATATACATACATTTTTGCTACAATCAGAGGTAGATTACCATAAGGGCAGAAAAGGAGGTGCCCCGGGAGCCCCAGATTGCGAGTATGCTAAATGGTTCTGCAATTTAGTGATCATTCAAGTATGTCAATCTCAGCTTTGCAAGCTTTTATTTTAAAGCATTGGCAAACTTGTACTGCTCTCAGTAAAGGTTTGGATTAATATTATTAATTTATACATATGCACACTCCCTGTATCTGGAAGCATTGTTTTATTATTTTATGTCACCATTTTCAAAGAGTGCACCAGGGGTGTGTTTACCACAAGGCAAACAAGGGATTTGCCTAGGGCGGCATTTTTCAGGGGGGCAGCACTGCCCCTTGGAAGAAGGGACAGAAGAAGGGACACACATGTCATGGGGACCTGGTGGGTTTCAAAAGATGCTGTGGGTTTCATGACGGTGTATGCACAGCCCGACTCTCGTTCTTGGGGATGTCCAGAGCTGTGAAGGTGAGTGTCTTTCTCTATCTCGCCATGGGGGATGGTGGCTGGTGTATGGGGGGCAGTGGTAGTGGAAGGCTCGGGTGGAGGGCAGGGGTGCTCTTGGTCAATGTCAGGCTCTTTCTGCACGGGTGTGTCCCAATTTTCGTGTTGCCTAGGGCAGCACAAATCCTAAATACACCACTGGAGTGCACCACTTCAATTCAGTATGTAAACACTGTGGGGGAGATGTACTAAAACTGGTGCACTCAGAATCTGGTGCAGCTATGCATGGTAGCCAATCAGCTTCCAAATTCAGCTTGTTCAGTTAAGCTTTGACAATAAATACTGGAAGCTGACTGGTTTCTAAGCAGAGCTGCACCAGATTTTGCACTCTCCAGTTTTAGTAAATAAACCTCAGGGTATCACTGCTGAAATGCTTTACAAACCCATGTCAGAAGGAAAACACATATTTCTATGCACCCTTACCCTTGTGCATGACCCAGTTAAAATTATGCAGGCTGATGGACTGAAAACAGCCCAGGGCCAAAGATACAGCTATCCCACCACTGCACAACCAGCTACCAGCAAAACATCCTCCTAAGATGCATCTTTTGAAAAACAGTGCAGAAGAGCAGAATCATATGACCTTATCTTTAGAAGACAATTTATGGGATTTTCACAATTTATGAATGTCTAATGAATGCTGTAATGTATGCACCATGGGTTTTCTCTGCTAAAATATCTTTATTATGGTTCATTGGCTTCATCTTTAAATCACAGCACAGAAGTAAAAGGTATTGGTATGTTTAAGTCAAAGTTGGTTTACCATAGAAACTAAGAAGCTGAATTATATTATTTGTTATCTTGTACATTTTTATAACTACAAAAAAACTCTATGTAAAAAGTTAAAATAATTACCACATTCCCTCTGCACATGGAGATTTTAATTTTAAAAGTGGAATTCCAGGGATTACAACACTTTTTTTAAAAATGTGAATGACTCTGCAGTTGCAAGAATCGAAGGTCCAGCACCAGAAGTAATGCTATAACTGTACTGTACATGCTCAGTAATATGAATATAGTCAATAAAAGAGATAAGTCCAGGAGGTGCAATACCCCTGTAGCACCCTCCTAATTGGGTGATAGGATATGTATAGTTAGATTGAGCATAGCTGTGTTTCTCTGCTTAACAGAGAGGCTGTCCGCTTAAATTCAGTGTCGTATTCTGCTTAACAGAGTGTTGTGATTGATTAGTCAAGTCTGCTCATGCTGCTCGGGTGCTGTTGGAGTTTTTCTGAGTTCTGCCCACCTTCAGGAAGCTATGAGAGCCTTCCAGAACATGGGAAGGGGCTAGGCAAATGAACAACATGTAGATGGATACAGCCCTGGTTAATTGCAATTGAAGGTAGTCACAGTGGCTAAATGCTTAGCACTTCTGCCTGTCAGTATTAGAGTTGCTGGTTCAAATCCCAACCATGACACCACCTGCCTGGAATTTGCATGTTCTGCCTGTGCCTACATGGGTTTCCTCTGGGTACTCTGGTTTCCTCCCACAATCCAAAGACATGCTCATAGGTTAATTGGATCCTGTCTATATAGTTTGTGTATATATGAATGTAAGTTAGGGTCTTTAGATTGTATGCCCCTTAGGGACTGATGTGAATGTACAATATATATGTAAAGCGCTGTGTAAATTGACAGCGCTATATAAGTACCTGTAATAATAAAATAAACATTGCATGCTGGGAGTGGTATTTATGTTCTAGGAGCACATGGGTTCAGGGTCTTTCCCGGGAGTGGATTGCACCAGCCAGGATGGACGCAGGCTGCCTCGCCTGGCAAATGCTGCCATGTGGCCTCAGGTGGGTCAAGCTGAGGGCCTGTAGCTAGAAAGAGTTACCCTGGCTCTTCAGTATGCTGACTGAGGGGAGTTGTCTGCCAAAGATCTGTCTGGTATCACTGGAGGGTTTCGCTTACCAATTAGAAGGAGGCTACCATTCTGTCCGTGAGCCTTGTGAGTACTGACATTGAGGAATTTGGGGACGCTGTGTGCTTATTACCTCCCTTGGTGTTTGATAGTCAGTATGGGTCTGGAAAAAGGGAACACTGGCTAGTGTTCTGAAGAACTGGTCCGAGTGTTGTACTACAAAGGGACTTTGCTTAGCTACGTTACCTTTGGGCTGTTGCAGTCTGTCGTAGATGAGCTCAGCCCTGAAACTACTTCTGCTGCTAAAGGGACTTTTCTCACTTCTAAAACCTCTTCCTGCTATATGTTACAAGGAAGTCTGCTATCTGCTGTCAGCCAAGACTTCTACAGTGTTCTACTAAGAAATCAGCTACATATCCTCAGTGTGAATAGTTCTGATTTGGAGTATCCTACTACAATCCCCATCCCTATCCACAGTTCTACAATAAAGTCCAAAAACAAAACATCCCCTAGACTGGTCATTGAAGACAATGAGCTGAAGAATTTGGCTGCGGAAATACATTGTCCCTGGCTGCGGGGCAAAGAAAGGGGAAACCGGGGCATCATACAAGTGCTCCTGTGGGGGTAGCGCTACACCCCTTATTGAATGTAACCCCTATAAGAGAGCTAAAAATACTGCAAATTCCTAGCGTGCTTTCTTAATGTGTGACTATTGGAAAAATAAAAAATAACATACTGTACATGGTAAAGTGTGTCACTAGCATTAACAGCAGTTGTTTTTCTGAGCCTTCCCTGTAGCTTAGGTTTATTGGCAGTTGCCAGTAGATGTGTTATTTTCCACTTTCAATAACAAGCCAAGTTGTCCAGCAAAAGTGACAGTTACAGGATTGTGACAGACCATATAGCAATACCAAGGGTACTTACATTGGTCAGCTTTTATTCCTATGATTTAAAATTTTTATCCAATAGGAAAAAAAACATGTTTACTGTCAATGCTAATCTCTAATCTCTACCTGGAATTGCACTTTAATTTAATTTTCTTTCCTATATAAGACTGACTGTTAGTGACAACATTGCTTTGTGATTTCACTGCAGAGTAAACTTCATTGTTGTCACCCTGTTACAGGAAGTGGAGAAATAACAGCTGAACAAGTAATAAAACTATGTTACATGGGGGATTCAGAAAAACAAATCGTTCTGTGAGAAGCCAAGTGACAGACTGTATCATGTTATTTCTGATTTTGCCACTTTAACAATATACAATATCCACAGATGTATGGAAATGTATATAGCCTTTTTTTCTACTTGTACATATAATTCAGCTTCTTCATCCATAACACTGTTTTATGTTTAACTCCACTTTTCTTTTTACTATTTCTTTGCTTGAAAAGTGAGCACTATAGGGGAAGGTAAGGAAGTGAGAGCTTTTACTTATCTGTTTTTGTTTAATTCACAGTAATAGTTTAGAGTTCTTTATTTTAATTCACCCAGAATACTAAAAAAAATATCACTTGTATTTACATCTTTTGCTGCTTTCAATTCTAGAAGAAGATATGAAGATAGATGAGAAGTTTGTTGAAGCTGGTAAGGACAAATTAGCATAACCCGTCTTCTGTATAATATGCCTACATGCTTTTATATATGAACGGACAGTGAGAAACCTTTCCAAAAAATAGCAAAGAAAAGTCTACCACTTTTCCAAAAAAATAGCAAAGAAAAGAAAAGTCTACCACTTTTCCAAAAAAATAGCAAAGAAAAGAAAAGTCTACCTCCAGCAAAATGAAAAAATATGTAATGGTATCCCTGTACTGGGAAAGAATAATGACTGATCCCATTATGTTAAAAATGCAGTGTTAATACCGCCTATTTTGTTTGACTTAATCAAATGTAAGAGTCCAAGAAAAGTGTTTACCTCTACTAACAACCTGGCTCAAACCAAACCCTTTATTTTCTTTAGGATACAGTTTAGAATGTTAAAGCCTCTTTGGCTTGTCCCTATTGGGGAGATTTACCCTCACTTCCTGGTAGGGTGGGGAATTGCTTGGAAATCTCTCCAACAAGAATGCAGACAAAAACTAATTTTTAGTACAGCGAGGAATAGTTAGAATTTCTGACAATGTTTTTATTACTGCCACAATGCCTTCTTTCCTGTGCCAGTGACAACCAGTAACTCTATTTCTTGTTCTGGTGACACAGAGAGAGGAAGTGAGAATCTACATAATAGGCTGACAGTTACAAATGAAAACCTTTCCTATACAGGCTAAAATAAGTTGGATAGAATTACTTTTTATTGTGGATGTAAATTGCGGTATTGTACATAAGTTTTTTTTTTATTATGGTTAGGTTTGCAAAAAAAAAATGTTTAAAATATATTCCTCTTTTTCAGTTTTATAATAAATACTGATTACATGTACTTGAATGAAAAAGTATCCTATTTTCTTTATATTGCTTCTTTTGTGTGAAATTCCTTGTGTTCCTGCCAGTCCCTCTGTTATCAAAAGCTGACCACACGAGGCAGGAGAGCACACTGTGGTCAGTGTTCTAACTGTGCTGGGAGCTCAGCTTGCTCTCCTCCAATTATCAGACTTGTCCTGACATGTCTCCCCTGCACAGCCATTCACTGGGGAAGACCAGTGTACTGCTGTGTCTCCACCCTCACCTCTCTATGCAGGGTATGTATGCACTGTGTTACAAGATGAGGGTTTACATGTACTTTACTATTTTGTGTTCTCCTTTTGAGTTTCCAGGTGGAACTTTAGGCTCATTTTATGTTTTTCAGGCTCTCCCTTTACTTCTTTAATGTAAAAAGCCCGTAATTTACAAAACTCAGTAGCTCCAGCTAAAAATGATATATGCAAGTAAATGAGTTCCTGATTTTAATGTTACGTTTATAGTAGGAATTATTAAAGCTGAGGTTTAAAGCTCTCAGCATAGGACCTGGAAGCTAGCGGTGATAACTGTAGTAGCAGTGCTTACTACAGTGATTTCCAGCTTCCACAGACATTAGCTAGGTATCACGCATGCACACTTACATTGGTGCAAGCTAGTTGCAAAAATATGCATATCTAAACTTCACCTATAATGTATGAAATACAATATAGCAAATTATAAATTATTTTCTCCATACAAAAACATCACATCCTTCAGTCTGTTTGTTAAATATGATATGTAAAAAAACACATAAAAATGCAGGTAAATGCGCATAAAATACAAGTAAAAGTAGGTAAATGCATATGAGTTTTTACCTGTATTTTATATGCACACAAGTTTGAACCTATCCTGAGAAATGTAACCATAATCAGATGGTGTTAGACTATGAAGAGGAAATGGGCTATATTCCTGGTTAGAAGACAGAATGATCATAGGAATAAATACATCCTTGAGGATAGAGATAACCGAACTTAAAGTGCTACTAAACCCACAACCGTAAAATCAGTCTGTATATGCAGTAAAGCATGCTTGTTATACTCACTGAGGAACCTAAGGGGTTAATCCTCTGCATTATGTAAAAAGGATGTTTGATCTCATCTTCTCTGATTCTCCCCTTCTTCCAGTGCCCCCCTCTTATCTCCTGATAAGACATATCGTGTGTGGAGACACTCTGCACATTCTCAGTTTGGTGTGTATTTCTAGAGAGGTTTTTTTTTTTTTTCTTGGGGGGGGGTGCAGGGGTGCATGTGATCGGCCAATTAACACTGTCCAGACAGAGGTCATGAGTTCTGCATATTCCTAGAGCAAAATGAAAACTCCTCCTCCAAGCTTTAACCAGTGCTTGGCTGGACACTGATAGAAGTCACAAGACTGTTCTAACTGCTGATGAGAAAAGGTATTTAGCAGTTTATATTTACTAAAATAATGGCACTTCCAAGTTCTGTGTACTGTGTGAGAGCAGATAGAGTGAATGCAGGGTCCTGGGTTTAGTAACACTTTAAAAATATGGCTAAAGAAATGTTCTTTTGCCTTGTTTAAGAGCCTATTCACATTAGTTAAGATTGTGTTGGGCAGCAATTCCATTGCAGTCCCAAGACAGCATGCAGAATTTTATTTTTTTAGTGCAGCACAGTGTGATGCAATCCACTGTGTGACATTTCAATAAAGTTACTTTAAAAAGTACACTGTGTGATATGTCACGTTCAGCAGATTGGCACCGTTGTTATCCAACCATATACCAGCGGCTGCTTTCCAACGCACTGGCTGGTGTGAACCAACCCTAAACCTCTATGTTCTGATGTTACGTATACCAGATAAAAAGTGAGCATGTTATTAGTTTGAGTTGTGGTATGCTGTTATGTTTATGTATTTATTTCTTTTTCACATTGTTGTATCAAACATCAGATGAGGAAACATTTGAGTCAGGTAATACTGTAAATCTTACTGTATATATTTAGGTTTTGTTTCATGTTATGTTTTTGATGCAACATTTCAACATTCAGTGGCATTATTATTATTAATAAAAAAAAAAAAATATATTTATATATATATATATATATATATATATATATACAGTATATACACTGCGTGTGTGTGTATATATGTATGTATATATAATATAAACATTTTTTTTATCTGTTTTATAGACCATTCACTTCAGTCCATGCCCAAGTGAAACCTAGGCTCTAACATATATATTGCCCTTACATAACATCATATTGACAACGGAGCTGATGAACTAAATAGTAAATGATTAATTTTCAGGTGATAAAAGGAAACAATAGGCGCACAATCCAATTTGGGTGACCCTCATGAACATATATTATAAATGAGTCCAAAAAGGTCTCTGGCAATAATCCATACCACTTATGGCAACTATTCCCAGAGTAGAAGCAGTCTCTGTAATTAAACAAACAAGGGAGAGAGGAAAGTGCCTACTAAGTGTAGCATAAGAACTGTTTTTTAAAACCACAAAATTGGTAACTCACATTAATAAATGTAAACGGGTTAATCAATAAAGACCACTGTTCTGGGTGTGACGTCTCCATTTCTCTGTGCGCTGGCTGGCTCTGTGTATCCAGATAGATGGTGGAAAGATGGCACCTCAAACATCCGACTTCCAGGAACCATGTTGGGATGCAAGCTGGTAGAGGTGACATAACGGTAGCAGGATAAAATTAGCTAGGCATTTCAGAGCATCCCATGCCTTTATCAAGCCAGTCAGATAAATTGTTTCTCTGACTGGCTTGATAAAGAAGTGTGGATGTTCCAAAACGTGGAGTCAATGTTATCCTGCTGCTGTGACATCACCTCTGCCAGAGTGTGTTCCAGCATGGTTCCTGGAAGTCAGATGTTAGAGGTGCCATCTTTCCATCATCTATCCGGATATACCGAGCCAGCCAGCACACAGAGGGACGGAGACATCACACCCAGAACAGTGGTCTTTATTGATGAGCCTGTTGACTTTTACCAATGTAAGTTGGCAATTTTGTGTTTTTAATAAACAGTCCTTATGCTACACTTAGTGGGTGCTTCCTTCTCCCCCTTGAATGATTAATTTTCACCCTAGACTCTGTGTACTTCAAAAAAAAGAAAACACAGGAAGGTTCTTCTCCTGACATCTACACTTGGAATCATTGATGTTAATAAAAAATATTTTCTTTATTATTTATATCTTACCCCAGGTCCATTCAATCTTCCTTTTCCAGGTGCTCTGGTTTTCAATTACCGCCCAATTCGTGTACCCTTGTAACTACCATTATTTTGGAGTTCAGTACTGAGCAAGCTGTGTAGTGAAAAATGTTTAACAATATAATTTGTATGCTGGTCTATAATAATTTGTGATGCACATAGATTTTTCATCATAAATCAGAGATCTACATGCTCTTCTGAACATTAGAGATACCATTCACTGAGTGGAAAAAGGTGACAAAGTATGGCAGTGCAATTTTAGGCAATGGAAAAAATATTGACTATTCCTGCTCTAGACTCACAGACCATGGATGGGGCACTATAACCTCCACTGATACCAACAATGGGGCACTGTTCCACTTACTGATTGCAAAAATTGGGCACTATTCCCCCCATTGACACTAACAATGGGATCAGTATTCCTTTCACTGATGCCAACTATGAGTCAATATTATTTTCACAGATACCAACTATGGGGCACTATTCCTTCTACTGATAACAACTATAAGGCACTATTCCTTGCACTGACACCAGCAATAGGTTATTATTACCCTGCTCCCCATTAACCACAGATGCTAGGTTAATTTTTACTCCCATTGACCACCAACTCTGGGGCATTTTTTGCTCCCAGTAAGCCTGGGGTATTCTTTATTCCCACTGATATCAGGACATATTCTACTTCCACTAGCCAAAGTCTGGGTACCCTCAAGTCCTATGAACATTGAGCACACCTTTTATTTAGAAAAATTGGGAACCCCTTCCTCTGCATTGACTTTATTTTTCCCAGGACCTAAAGCCCCAAATGGTCACATGGCTAGATCTGTGCTTAAAAGGTTGATGTACAATACATATTCTTGTGCTAACAATTGTCTTTTTTGTTCTTTACTTTGCCAGAGGAACTAAAAGGAGGTAAGATGAATCATTTTCAGTATGTAGTTTAGGTGAGATGTTAGAATGTGTTGAAATCAAATGAAATACTTCAGCCCTGATTTTTTTATTAAGTCTCTTTTTAGTAAAGGGTTTTAGGTTGTCACAGGTACATAAAACTGATACATCACATATCGAGTTACAATTCAGGGTCAAGAAGCTAACCGCTCTCTACAGTTGTTCTGGCCAAGTGACCATAGCCATAGCAAAGGTACAAAGTAATTTAAGAATGAGAACAGAGGGTAGGAAAGGGTATTTTCAACCCTGATTTTTATCTATAGAATAATGTCAGATTTCTTTTACTTGTGAAAACACTTTTAATATGAGAAGACCGAAGGAACATTTTCATGTATTTTCTGGTTTTGCCCCTGACTGACATCATTTAAGATCACATTTAGATTCATGGGGAAAAAGCATGGAACTGGACCAGTTGTCATTTTGCTTTATCATAAATCCTTTTCTCCAAAGTCATTTAAGGAATTCTTTCGATTAGCTGAGTCTATTATTCTTTCCAGAAGCCAAGACTGAAGATTCTGAATTAACACTTTACACCCATTCTCTTCTCCAGTAAGGAGAACAGTGAGTAGCACAGTACTGACATCTCCAGATTTCCTGAGACCATGGGGTTAATTAACTAAAACTGGAGAGTGCAAAATGTGGTGCTGTTCTGCATAGCATAGAAACCAATCAGCTTCCAGGTTTTTTTTTTTGTTAAAGCCTAATTGAACAAGCTGAAGTTAGAAGCTGATTGGCTACTATGCGCAGCTGCGCCAGATTTTGCACTCACCAGCTTTAGTAAATCAACCCCAACGTTTGAAGTTTAATCTGAGCTACTGAATGTGAAGCCATTGACCCAGAAGTGCCTAGGCAGACTCACATACCTGAAGGGCACTGCCAAGGCAAAACTGACATATCTAAACATTCCCTATTCCTTTTACTGTTTGAGTACAGATCCACTTTGAATAAGAAATTTATAAAAAATAAATGTACTGAAATTAGTTTATGGGCTGGGTAGAAATGGCATACCATATGACGTATATTACATTAAAACCAATGCTTAATATTATAGTAACATTCACCTAAATATCATCATTTTGTTACATGATTCTGCACATTAAGAAGAGGAAGAATATGGTGATGGATCAGGATATGTTATTGGTATGTATGAGACTTGTTAAATATTATCACCATAATGTAAAGCGCTGAGCAAACTGTCGGCGCTATATAAATCCTGTATAATAATAATAATAATAATAATATAGCAATGGAGTGTGGATAACCTATCCATAACAAAATAGCAGCTAGCGAATACTGTTCTGAGAAAATAAACCTAACATACATGCGGCTTCTTAAAGTAACAAGCTTTAACCTAACATTGTATTCATTACAGTTTTCACTCTTGTATATTATTATTTATTATAATACAGGATTTATATAGCGCTGACAGTTTACAACTGAACTCCAATCTTACACAGCTGAAAACAGTTATACTTTTAATTCTGAAATCTCAGCATCACATGTGGTATTACCTAGGGTAGGGGTGGGCAACTGTGGCCCTCCAGCTGTTGTAGAACTACAAGTCCCATGAGGCATTGCAAAACTGACAGTTACAAGCATGACTCCCAAAGGCAGAGGCATGATGGGACTTGAAGTTCACCAACAGCTGGCGGGCCACAGTTGCCCACCCCTGACCTAGGGTAGTGGGCATGCAAATGAAACCTACAGACTGAGATCTACCCATCAGGGTGTTTTTTGATATTTACATATCTCCTCCCAGAAACCATCACGCAAAACAAACAAGTACTAATGCAGGGAGCTAAAATGTTGTTAGGAAGCTACAGTTGCAAGAAAAAGTATGTGAACCCCTTGGGATTACGTGGAGTTTTGCATGAATTGGGCATAAAATTGCTCTGAACGTCATCTAAGTCACAACAATAGAAGAACACAGTCTGCTGAACATAATACTACACAAACATTAGATGTTTCCATGGTTTAATTGCACATAACATGTAAACATTCACAGTGCAGGGAGGAAAAAGTATGTGAACCTTTGGACTTAATAACTGGTTGACCCTCCTTTGGCAGCAATAACCTCAACCAAACGTTTCCTGTAGTTGCAGATCAGACCTGCACAACGATCTGGAGTCATTTTGGACCACTCCTCTTCACAAAACTGTTTCAGTGTAGCAATATTCTTGGGATGTCTGGTGTGAATCGCTCTCTTAAGGTCATGCCACAGCATTTCAATCGGGTTGAGGTCAGGACTCTGACTGGGCCACTCCAGAAGGCGTATTTTGTGCTGTTGCAGCCATTGTTTTGTTGAATTACTTGTATGCTTTGGGTCATTGTCCTTTTGCATCACCCATCCTCTGCGGAGCTTCAGTTGGCGGACAGATGTTCGTACGTTTTCCTGCAAAATGTCTTGATAAACTCTGGAATTCATTTTCCCATCAATGACAACGATCCATCCAGGCCCTGAGGCAGCAAAGCAGCCCCAAACCATGATGCTCCCTCCACCATGTTTCACAGTGGGGATGAGGTTTTGATGTTGGTGTGCTGCACCTTTTTTTCTCCACACATAGTGTTGTGTGTTCTTCCCAAACAACTCAATCTTGGTTTCATCTGTCCACAGTATATTTTGCCAGTAGTGCTGTGGAACATCCAGATGCTCTTTTGCAAACTTCAAACGTGCTGCAATCTTCTTTTTGGACAGCAATGGCTTCCTCCGTGGTGTCCTCCCATGTACTCCATTCTTGTTTAATGTTTTCCTTATTGTAGATGTGTCAACAAAAATGTTAGCATGTGCCAGAGATTTCTGTAGGTCTTTAGCTGACACTCTGGGATTCTTCTTTACCTCATGCAGCATTCTGCGCTGTGCTCTTGCAGTCATTTTTACAGGACGACCGCGCCTAGGGAGAGTAGCAACAGTGCTAAACTTTCTCCATTTGTAGACAGTCTGTCTTACCGTGAACACATGAACATCAAGGCTTTTGGAGATACTTTTGTAACCCTTTCCAGCTTCATGCAAGTCAACAATTCTTGATGGTAGGTCTTCTGAGAGCTCTTTTCTGCGAGGCATGGTTCACATCAGACAGTGCTTCTTGAAACCAGTAAACCCAAAACAGGTGTGTGTTTTTTAAGGGCAGGACAGCTGTCAGCAACACATCCAATATCATCACACTGATTGGAGTCAAGGTTGGCTCACTCCTGGCTCCAATTAGCTCTGGGAGAAGTCATTAAGCTAGGGCCTCACATACTTTTTTCCTCCCTGCACTGTGAATGTTTACATGTTATGTGCAATTAAACCATGGAAACATCTAATGTTTGTGTAGTATTATGTTCAGCAGACTGTGTTCTTCTTCTATTGTTGTGACTTAGATGATGTTCAGAGCACATTTTATGCCCAATTCATGCAAAACTCCACGTAATCCCAAGGGGTTCACATACTTTTTCTTGCAACTGTATATATACACCATCCTGCTTGCCCTCCCACATGCCATTATCTGCTTGCATTCCATTAAGAAGCAAAGAGACCAAGTGATATCACTGGGTCTATAATAATGTATGAAATGAAAATGGAAACGTTTTATTTTAAAGTTTTATGGTATTAGCATGTTCATGAGGGTTGAAAGCAGGGGCCAGGTGAGGCAGTCTTTAAGCATTTAAACTTTAGCTTTAAAGATTCAGTTGATCCACTTATATTCACATTTTGATGTATGCTGGAGAATAACACCACCTAACAATTTATTATATCTCCCAGAGACTCCATTGGTACTTGCATTTCTGGCTTTGCAAACATTCTGTGATGTTTACGAGAGATTCCGCTTTTAGCGGTCTCTGGTAGATTAATCGGCCCTAGTAGGTGTAGGAATGTGAGTTAGGGACCTTAGATTGTAAGCTGTTTGAGGGCAGAAACTGATGGGAATGTACAATATACTGTATATGTAAAGTGCTGTTTTACCGCGTTTTGCAACATTTTATCGCGTTTTGCTGCATTCTGACTCTTTTTCATACAACTGTCACTGAAGAATTGCACATTTTTCTTATATTACATAATAAAAAATATGCAAATCTTGGGTAAAAGTGGTGTGTATCTTGTGTGAAAACAGTGATAAGAAGATCCCTAATACTGGCCATACATTATACAATGTTTTTGTTCAAATTCCTTTAGATTTACCTTCAACTATTTAGTGCAAAGGCCTGCCTGATTGCATAAAAATGAAAAGAGTTTAGGTTTGATGTTAAATTATATGGTCTTGGTAAATCTAAAGGAAAATTATACAAGAAAATTGTATAACGTATAGCCAGCTTTAGTGCAGGATTTTTTTTATTATTATAGAGAATAGAACAAGAGATGAAGGAACTCCAAAGGTGAGCAAGACCTTCCACAACTTCCAGGTGAACAGAAATTGGAATTGGGAATCGTGGAAAAAGCCAGGTGCTGACTCAGTCCAATTTGCTCTACCTTATATTCACTCTAATGGAGCCCAAACAGCAGGAAAACATGTCAGGAGTTCTAATCCATCCCCACACTATCAAAAAGAAGAGCAATAGCTTTCTCTTGACAAACAGTACTTTTAAAATGGAATTAAAATCTGCAAATACTTGTCTCACCAATGATGTGAGGTCCCCAAGCTCTCTTGCTGATGCTGATATCTTCTCACTAGCTTCTTTCAGGTGCTGTGTCCTCAACCATCTTAAAGAAGAAGTCTGGGATAGGCAAAAAATCACCTATTAGTACACCCCCCTGCACAAAAACACTAAACCGTTAAAAACACTTTGAAAATCCTTACCATTTAGGAGAAAATTCTAACTGAATTTTCATTACTTCATCTCTAATTAAAAAGATAACATCATCTGCTCTGCCAAGGAGGAGGTGTTACAGCAGGGATTACATCATATCCTTTCCTCTCCCTCTGCAGTAAAAGGAAACTACAGTTCCCATTGTTCATGGGGAATTGTACTGAATGTGGGCGGGTACACTAGGCCTGTACATGTTGAATGTGTCTGAGAGTCTTGGTCCATCCACAACTGCAAGTGGGAATTACATCACTGCTTCCTGGAGAAAGAACTACAGAAGGGATGTGCCAAGACCAGTGACTGGGGGAATAGGAGGCATAGCAGCCACTGGTCTTACAAACAGGAAACCAAAGAGAATTAGTTTGATTTGAAAATGAATAGGGTATTTCACAGCAACTACTTAGTGAAGCAGAAGATGGATGACAGTGACAGTAAGAAATCAGCAACAAGGACATGTACAGAAGTTTTTGCCGGGAGTTCTGCTTTAAATTGTCGATGAAGGATAACGTAACTCCCATGTATGCATGTAAGAGTTCATTCATCCGGGCACCAAGTTTTGCCAAGAATGCTTATTCACAATCATTCTAAAGAAGGTTATGAGCAGGAATGTACATTTGTTGTTTTGCAGAAGATACATAGCATGCAATAAAGTGTTCGCCTGCTCACAATTTTATATCTTTTAACCTAGTTCTCCTTTCAACTGAGCTTGTTCTGAGACTGACAGCATACAACCTATGGATTTGTTATAAGCCGACATAAACACATTCATAAAATAAATAAAACCATTGGTATCTTTCTCGGTAATGTAAGAACACATTGGGGTTGATTTACTAAAGTCAATTAGACTGTGTACTTTGCAGTGCATGTGCAGTCTGCAAGTACAGTTGCTCCAGAGCTTAGTAAATGAGGTAAAGCTTTCCTTTACCAAGAATACCCAATCACATGCAAGGAAAATAAAAAAAACAGCATTTTTGATTGCACATGATTGGACGATGGAAGTGAGCAGAACTTCTGCTCATTTACTAAACTCTGGAGCAGTTGCAGACTGATTATTTGGGCATTGCCCGAGGGCCTAGGATCAGTAGGGATCCCGGTGAGAGACTCACTGGGCACAATTCACTAAGCAGTATCTTACCGCATTCAAGTATGCAGTAGGATACTGCATAGCATTTTCGAAAAAAAAAGTTTGAATTCACCAAAAACTACTAAAAGTTATTTTATCAAGTCATGCGGTATTTTAGTAGTGAAAACCATGTGTTAATGTTTCAGCTGTCAGCGGGGTTACCCACTGACAGCTGAATGTAAACAAAGAATTGCCGGCAACGAAAAAAAATTATTTAAAAATACGGCGTGGGGTCCCCCCACCAACCATACCAACCCCTTCGGTTCAGGTATGGAATTTGAGGGGAACCGCCACACCAACATTTTTTAAAAAATGGCGTGGGGGATCCCCCCAAAATCAATACCAGACCCTTATCCAAGCATGCAGCTTGGCAGGTCAGGAAAGGGTGGGGGGACGAGCGAGCGCCCCCCCGAACCATACCAGGCCACATGCCCTCAACATGGGGGGGTGCTTTGGGGCGGAGGGGGCTCCCCCCCAAAGCACTTTGTTCCCAAGTTGATGGGGACAAGGGCCTCTTTCCCACAGCCCTGGTTGGTGGTTGTGGGGTCTGTGAGTGGGGTTCTTATCAGAATCTAGAAGCCCCCTTTGGCAAGGGGGCCCTCAGGTCTTGCCCCCCCCATGTGAATGAGTATGGGGTACATGGTACTGCTACCCATTCACAAAAAAAAAGTGTAGTGTGAAAAAAGAGAGGAGACAGTCTTTGACAAGTCCTCTATTAAAAGAAGAAAAAAAAAAAAAAATAATGCCCCCCGAAGTAGATCCAATGTCAAACACGATGTCCAACACTGCTGCTACCCGAAAAAAAGAAAAAAAAGGCTCCGTCCGGACGCTGGCTCCCAGCAGTCTGACTGCTCTGCAGGCTTGATAGTTCTTAAATATATAAGGGACGTGGCCACCTGGGGACATCACGTGTGTGATACCCCCTCCATGTTGAGGGCATGTGGCCTGATATGGTTTAGGAGTGGGGGGGGGCACCCCCCCCCCCCTTTCCTGACCTGCTGGGCTGCATGCTCGAATAACGGTCTGGTATGGATCTTTTTTAATTTTTTCTTAATTTTGGTGTGGGGGTTCCCCTCAAAATCCATACCAGGCCCAAAGGGCTTGGTATGAATGGAGGGGGGACCCCATAACCTTGTTTTATTATTTTTTTAAATTATTTTTAATGCCCTTTCTATGTAGCTGAGCTGCAATATGTAGGTAGGGTGTTGTGTGGGTGTGGCTTTGGCTTGAGTGTAGGCGGAGACACAGGGGGCCCCATTATCTCTTATTGCCCAGGGGCCCCATAAGTTGTCAATCCTCTCCTGCTCTGGAGCAACTGCACTTGGAGAGTGCACAGTATAATTGCCTTTAGTAAATCAACCCCATTATGTGATAACAAATATCTGGATTTGGTAATGAAGGCTGTTGATTTAAAATGGTTTTACATTGCTATGACTGTTTTTGTAGTGCAATTTGAAAAAAATAAAATGTATATAATTATACTGTAATTCTTACTTTTATATTATATTATTATGTTGGAATTTTGGAGTGCATTGTTCTAACACTGTACATATATATTTACAGCTGGATTTCGGAGAAGTATGCGGCTTTGCCGCAGAAAGTCCCACAACACTCATATCTCCTGTTACTCCCGCTGCCCCAATAACTGTTACCACACTGTGGCTGCACCTTATGAGGAAGTTGTGAGATATCAGAGAAGGCCTTGTGATCGCCACAGGCTCATCGTACTTCTAGGTTAGTTCACATTTCGTTTCACTACAAGGATGTAGTTTCTAATTTGCCCGTGGCATTCTTCCCTTTAAAAACTGTATATGAAATAGAGAAATATTTATTGGGCAACTAAACACAAGAAAAAAAAGTTGTTTGCTTTCAGCACAGTTCAATATGTATTTTCTGTGCTTACTGAAAATGTTCTTAGTCTGAAAGAAACTAATGCAGCCACCACATCACAAGTAATAATCTCCCTATCCCCTATGTAATAGAAATGAACAGAGGCAGACATATCTGTAGTCCTGGCTGCTGCGTGGCTACCATAGCTCCCTCTATAGATACACTTAAAGTGGAGCTCCACCTAAAAGGGGAAGTTCCGCTTTAAGGCTTTGTCCCCCCACTCCCCGTTAAGAATTTGCACCTTTGGGGAGCGGGGGAGGGGGTACCCAAATTTGACAGGTACCCGCTCCTACTTCCACTGCGATTGCCTAGGCGATCAATCGGAAGCAGAAGTTGTCCTCCCCACCTTCCTCCCTGTAGTCTTCTGGGGACATGTGACAGGACCCAGAAGACTACGGGCCATTCACAAAGTATAGTGCTACACGCGCGCGCAGTGGGCATCCAGCTGTGAAGCCGCAAGCTGTCACAGCCAGGTGCCCACACTGAAGATGCCAGCGCTGAGGAGACAAGACAATCGCTCAACCCGGCTGTTGTGAGGACACCGTGGGATCAAGGAACAGGTGAGTGTCCGTTTTTTTAAAGTCAGCAGCTACAGTTTTTTTAATTTCCACTGGACCTCTGCTTTAAGGAGTAAATGCAGCCACCCCAGGCCAGAAAGTATGTTATCACCAGGATTTCCAAGATGCAAATAAAGGAAAAAAGGTGTGGAAAAAAGAAAAATGCAAGCGCCGCATCTAAGGACTGGTAAAATATATTCAATATTTGTTTTTGGGTTTAGAAACATTTTAACTATCCTGGTATGCAAACCAGACATGTTAGCCTTTATATCTTCTTCAGCATTTTCAGCCTTGCTTTCTTCATTGCCACTCTTCTGTCCTTTCTCTTTGCACATAGCTGCTTTAAGTTAAATGCTGGTTCCCGCTAGCCCTGTCTTTAAAGTTGTACTCCAGGTACAAGAACGTTAAATATATTCCCATATAGCCACAGAGAATATAAATCTACTTTGTGTCCACTAAACACTTTGCAAACACAGATATAACCATATAAAAGTAGCAGTGAAATCATCGCTACTTACTACAGGCTGCTTGTAGATAACTACAAGAGGGGGCAGATACAAGACCATTCATCCTGCACAAGGAGAAAGAGCAGCAGTGATTGGTCGTTATTACATTCAGCTCCTGCACAGAGGCAAGGTTTCGCATTGGATTACTGCACTGGTCTGGAATAAATGCACAAAGCACACCAAGACTGAAGAAAGAATGCACATGCCTCTTGTATTTCTGCAATATTTCTTATCCTGGAGTTCAGTACAGTTTTTCTTTATTGCATGTGCACATGGCTGCATGTTCCCATGTTGTTTGTCGATGTGTCATTGTGCTGTAATATTCTCAAATGAACAAAAAGAGAATGCATTTGATTCTTAATTCCAACACTGGAAATGGAGATCAGTTTTGTCATAAAATAGAATTTAAATATTTTTTTTTTTTCCTGTAGGGCCTTCAGGAGTTGGAGTTAATGAACTAAGAAAACAGCTTATTCGTTCAAATCCCAGTTTATTTCAAAGTCCAGTGCCACGTAAGTGATGTTATCATTCCAAATCTAAAGCCATTGATGAACTTAAACATCAGGCTGGGGTTGATTAGGCACATATGAAAATTATTATAGGATTTGCTGCATTTCCAAGCCATCACAAAGTTAATTCACTACTACTGTGCCATTATGAAATATTGTATGACTCCAGCATACTGATTCCCACATAGAAACAATCTCCTTTATGCAGAAAGCATTCAGTCCACTCTACCTGCCAACTGGTAAGCATTTTTTGGTGTATTAAAGAGTCACTAGTCACTTCACGCAAACATTGCTCCTGGACTGCTGTTCTGGGGACATCTGATGAACATAAAAGAACCAAAAGGCATACCTGCCAACTGTGCCTGATTTGGAGGGACTGTCCTTTTCTTGGAACCAAATATGTCAGGGACTTAGGGGCTATATTGAAGAAAAAGACCTCCAAGGTGGTATTTTCAGAGATACTGACTGTACCTCGAACCACATTAGAGAGTTAACAGGAGCTAAGAGAACTTAACAAGTGGTTGAGGAATTGGTGCAGGAAAGAGGGTTTCATGTTCAAGGAGAACTGGGATGACTTTTCAGTCAGATACCATCTCTATAGTAGGGACGGACTACACCCTAATGTGGAGGGTGCAGCTCAGCTCTGTTGGGGGAGAGGTTGGCCAAACATTGGAGGGAATTTTAAACTAGGGGGCGGGGGGAGGGATCAGAGATAGCAATAGCCATCAGCAAGTGTTAAGTGCGATAACCATAATACCTAAACCCGGGGAAAATGGGTTGACAAAGCATAATCACAGCCACAAAAAACTAAGACGGAAATAATATGCACCGGTAAAAGACTAAGAGGCATGCACACAAATGCTATAAGTTTAGCTAACAAAATGGAGGAACTGGAGCTGCTGATACACGAGAAGGATTTTGACTTTGTGGGGATATCAGAAACCTGGTTTGATAGCCCACATCATTGGTCTGCAACTACGTATCGGAGGGGCAGGGAGGGTAGAAGAGGAGGAGGGGTTTGCCTGTATATCAAAAATGATATGCTAGTAAATGTGCAAATGCGGCGGGGGGGGGGGGTGGGATGGAATCCCTGTGGGTGAAAAGAGACATGGGGGAAAATAATAGTGGGGATATGCTACAGGCCACCTAACCTAAAGGATGAGGCAATGGGGGACTTCAACTATCCAAATATTGATTTATGAAAGGTTGTTCTTGCCAAACCAATCTGTTAACATTCTACGAGGAAGAGAGTGGCCATCTAGACAAAGGAAGGGTGGTGGATGTGGTGTATCTGGATTTTGCAAAATCATTCGATACATAAACGTTTAATTTACAAACTAAGATCTACAGGCATGGACCACAGGGTTTGTTCATGGATAGAAAACTGGTTACAGGGGCACGTCCAACGGGTGGTGATAAATTGCACTCGGACTGGACTGAATTGGTAAGTGGGGTACCATAAGGCTTTGTCCTGGGGCCAATTCTCATTATTTTTTCATAAATGATATAGAGGTTGGTATAAAAAGCTAAACCTTAGTGTTTGCTGACAAAACAAAGCTAAGTAGGACAATAATTTCACTACAAGATATGGAAACTATACAAGAAGACCTCATTAAAATGGGGTGGCAGTACATGGCAAATGAGGTTTAATGTTGAAAAATGTAAAGTAAGGCATTTGGGGACTAAACATACAAATGCAAATTACTCGCTAGGGGGAAAACCTCTAGGGGAATCCAGGATGGAAAAGGATCTGGGGGTCCTAGTAGATGACAGGCTCAGCAATGGCATGCAATACCAACAACCTGCAGCAAGCAAAGCAAACAAAATATTAACGTGCATCAAAAAGGGAATTTACTCAAGAGATAAAACTATAATCCTGCCACTTTACAAAACTCTGGTTCAACCGCATCTGGAGTATGCCTTCCAGTCCTGGTCACCAATCCTCAAGAGGAAGGTGCGGGAACTGGAGAGAGTCTAAAAAAGGGCAACAAAGTTAATAAGGGAACTGGAGGATCTCAGTTTGAAGAAACAATTACAAACACTAACCTTATTCTCTCTAGAGAAGAGACACTTGAGAGGAGGTATGATAGCGGTATACAAGTATTTTAATGGTGTTTCTAGTATAGGGAATTAACTATTCAGTCTCAGAGAGTGTAAGAAGACAATTTGGAAGAGAAGTTGTTTAATCTTCAACTGCGTAAGGGGTTTTTCACTGTCAGGGCGGTAAGGATGTGGAACTGACTTCCACAATTGGCGATGTCAGCAGGAAGCATTGATAGTTTTAAAAAACTCTTGGGCAGGTATCTTGATGAACATAATATACAGGGATACGGGCAATGTTTTTGACATGAAAACACACACACACGTTGAACTAGATAGACTGGTGTCTTTTTTTCAACCTTACCAACTATGTAACTGTGTACTTTATTGCCATTTTGGTTAAGTGCCACCTACAGTGGAGAGTACAGACTACACTTGCCTACAGACCTTTTATCTAACCTTCAAATGATTCTATGTGCTATTTTGAAAATCCAAAATAAAGAAAAATCTGTGATGAAAAAAATACAAAATACAGTAATAGCAGTTGGGCTGCTGAGTGGGCAGTAGAGGTGCTGGCACTTGACAATTGAACGACAGGGACAAAGCTGAGATGTGGTGAAATACCTAATTTCAAATGGGAGTGAAGTCAACACCCTGCATAGAACGCTGACCTAAAATCAAATTAGCACTATAGATACAAAGGGATTGAACCAAAGACCAACACAGATACTTACAGGTACCAAATGTGCCTGCACTTTCGCACAATTGTCACCTTAGGCAGGTGAAACTGAAGGCAAACGTTTTAAATATTTTGAATAAAAAAAGTGAGGGTTATAACCACTGTCAGAATTTTTTCCCATTTGTGTCCCATTGGGCAGATTTCCCTTCAATCCTTGTCCCATAGCCAAAACAGAAAGTGAGAGGAAATTTCCTCCAAAGTGAGGAAATCCCTAACTGTCCCCAAGGTCACTAGAACTAGACTATCCCTATTGAGAGAACAGAATGTTCCTATTGGAAGATCTCCCTTCTATTCCTGTTCTGGGGATAACCCAAAAATTTGGGATTTTCTTTTACTTTCAGTCTCTGTGATAATAGTAAACGGGACAAATAGAGAGGGTGAATCTCACAAACAGCAATAACAACCTGACAGGTGTTCTAATCCCTTTCTAATCTTTCAAAAAAAAAGTTTTGCTTTCAGTCATACTTCAAGAATAAAACTATAGATCTCGCCATCCCATTTAAAGTGAAAGCCTAGTTTCAAGGGTTTTTTTTTTTTCTTTTAAATGCGTAAATAAACAAAATAGACAAACCCTCTATGCGTTCCACTGTTGCCCCATGCTTCTGAGTGGAGAGGGGAAAAAATGTCAAGGACAAAAAAAAAAACTGGAGTTGTGTTTTCAGAAGCAAGGGGATTGCCACTGATGACCTTCTTCTAAAAATGCGAGTTGAGTAAGTATAAACTTCAATACTTTAAGTCATCAACTCTAAATAAGTATGCCTAAAAATACGTAGGATGCTGGAGGTGCCTGCGATCCATTAGATAGAATTAATCATATTCAAAGACATGTTGAATGGAATATTGCTATACATTTGGCATATGCATGAAAACAGTTGTGTGAACTGCATGTTCTTTATCCTACCTGTTTGTTAAACATTACAAATAAACAGGACAGGAAGGTAAAAATGGGACAGTACCTTTTGTAGCTTTCTTCTTGTTATTGATTTTGAAGCTTATGTAAACCCTAACTAAGTGACATTTAGTTTTCTAAAGCATTGTGTATCACAAACAATTGCCATTTATAAATACTTGTTTTTAATTTTTTTATCCTTTGGTGCATGTGAGTGCTGCTGACCCTCCCCAGACTCATTGCAGCCACTTGCTGTCTGCATGCATTGTTTTGTCCTCACTATAGGTTTCCTTATGTGTAACTCAACATGCAGCTAAACCATCCTTTTCTGCAATAAGCCAGACTGACTGTAATCTTGGAGCTCTATTATTTACAACACGGGGTGGGTGAAATGATTGAAAAAACAGAAAAGAAATACACACAATCAATGCATGAGGCACACAGAAAAAACAATAAATGGATTTTTGGAGGCTGTAGATGGCAATAAGTCCCATGCTCACCAGTGATATTGCCTATAGGGAATGTAAATTTAGTCCACAACAAGTGCTGCAGATTGGATGGCTGGCTTCTCTCTCTCCCTCAGTTCCTAAAATGGAGTCTGAGCTCCCTGGATGCACCTGATTTCTTTTCCTAGAATTATTTTTTTTATATTAAGATGTTACTAAACCCAGGACCCTGCATTCACTATACCCGGTTTCCCACAGTACACAGAACATGGAAGTGCAATTGTTTTAGTAAATATAAACTGCTAAATACTTTTTCTCATCAGCAGTTAGAGCAGTATTATGACTTCTATCAGTGTCCAGCTCAGCACTGGTTAAAGCTTGTAGGAGTTTTTATTCTATTCTTACTGCCCTATGAGATTGCATAACCCCTGACCCTCTGTCTGGACAGTACTGATTCGCCCTGTGCTGATCGCATGTACCCTCCCAAGTAAAAGAAAGACAAAACTCTCTGGCAGTATACACCAAACTGAGCATGTTCAGTGTCCCTGAGGCTGTGTTCTATCAGGAGATTAAATGGGGAACATAGAAGAAGGGGAGGATCAGAGAAGTCAGGCTCAAACATTCTTTTTACACAATGCAGAGGATTAACCCCTTAAGTTCCACAGTGAATATAACAAGCATGTTTTACTGCATATACAGACTGATTTTACTGTTGTGTGTTTAGTAACACTTTGAATGACCTGCTCATTTTGTATGTTTTATTGTGATCCCTTCTTAGCTGTTTTGTTTACATTCACTATTGTTGCCATCCATATTTCTTATTGTACATTTTGTCTTACTTTAAATAGTGAGTTAAATCTGTGTAATGTGAAAAACTGCCAATAAAACGTTTGTTAAAAACTACAGAAGTACAAGATAATAGTATCAGAGGATTAACACCCTAAGTTCCACAGTGAATATAACAAGCATACTTTACTGCATATACAGACTGATTTTACTGTTGTGGGTTTAGTAACACTTTAAGGATAAACAGCCTCTAGTTTCAGTAAAACAGTAAATTTATTCTGGGCTCCATCTAGTGGCCAAATATAAGACTGCAGGCAGGACAAAACACTGAATTTCCCTGCTGGTGGCAGAACTTGCATGTACTCCAGTAGTGACTGCATAGCATTTCTCAGGGTGGATTTGCTGATGATAACAGATGCTAACCATGTCTGAATAGTCTGTTTAAACAGCCACTTGCAATGTTCATCAGAAGTCATTGTGACAGGGTGACAATGCAGAAACCATATTGGGTGATGGGGACAGATAGTTGTCACCCTTTAACAGAAAATACCTGAACAAGGACCTTCATGGCAGGACAGCCAGGTATTATTTTAATGAAAGTTTCATATTTAAAAACTAAATAACGTTTGAAGTAACATGTTAAAACGTAAGTAAGTTTTTGCTGATTGTGTTTATGTATACTTTTGTAAAAATATCTATATTTCAACAGACACTACGCGCCCTAAGAAGAGTTATGAAGAGGAAGGGCGTGAATATTTCTTTGTATCTAAAGAGATGTTTGAAAGTATGGTATATAGTCACAGGTATAGTATTTGTTTCTGATATTTACATTCTCAGATTTCAATTGTCATACAGTGGATATAAAAGTATACCCACCCCTGTAAAAATGTCAGGTTTCTGTGATGTAAAAAAATGAGACAAAGATAAATCATTTCAGAACTTTTTCCACCTTTAATGTAACCTACAAGCTGTACAACTCAGTTGAAAAACAAACTGAAATTTTTTAGGGGGGGGGGGGGGAGTAAACATAAAAAAACTAAAATAATGTGGTTGCATAAGTGTGCACACCCTCTTATAACTGGGGATGTATCTGTGTTCAAAATTAAGCAATCACATTCAAAATCACGTTAAATAGGAATCAGTACACAACAAGTGCCTCTGATTAACCCCAAATAAAATTCAGCTGTTCTAGTAGGTCTTTCCTGACATTTTCTTAGTGGCATCCTACAGCAAAAGCCATGGTCCACAGAGAGCTTCCAAAGCATCAGAGGGATCTCATTGTAAAAAGGTATCAGTCAGGAGAAGGGTACAAAAGATTTTCTAAAGTATTTGATATACCATAGAACACAGTGAAGACCGTCATCATCAAGTGAAGAAAATATAGCACAACAGTGACATTACCCAGAACTGGACGTCCTTTCAAAATTGATGAAAAAACGAGAAGAAAACTGGTCTGGGAGGCTGCCAAGAGGCCTACAGCAACATTCAAGGAGCTGCAGGATTATCTGGCAAGTATTGGCTGTGTGGTACATGTGACAACAATCTCCTGTATTCTCCATGTGTCTGAGCTATGGGGTAGAGTGACAAGACAGAAGCCTTTTCTTAGGAAGAAAAACATCCAAGCCCGGCTAAATTTTGCAAAAACACATCTGAAGTCTCCCAAAAATATGTGGGAAACTTTGTTATGGTCTGATGAAACCAAGGTTGAACTTTTTGGCCATAATAATAAAGATATGTTTGGCGCAAAAAACAACACTGCACATCACCAGAAAAACACCATAACCACAGTGAAGCATGGTGGTGGCAGCATCATGCTTTGGGGCTGTTTTTCTTCAGCTGGAACTGGGGCCTTAGTCAAGGTAGAGGGAATTATGAACAGTTCCAAATACCAGTCAATAAATACCAGTCAAATACCAGTATTGGCACAAAACCTTCAGGCTTCTGCTAGAAAGCTGAACATTAAGAGGAACTTCATCTTTCAGAATGATGACCCAAAGCATACATTCAAATCAACAAAGTAATGGCTTCACCAGATGAAGATGAAAGTTTTGGAATGTTCCAGTCAGATCCCAGACCTGAATCCGATGGAAAATCTGTGGGGTGATCTGAAGAGGGCTGATGCCCTGCAATCTGACAGATTTGGAGTGTTTTTAAAAGGAAGAGTGGGCAAATATTGCCAAGACAAGATGTGCCATGCTGATACTCATACCCAAAAAGACTGAGTGCTGGAGTCAAATCAAAAGGTGTTTCAACAAAGTATTAGTTTAAGGGTGTGCACACTTATGCAACCTTATTTTTTTATTTTTTTATTTTTACTTCCCTCCACCTAAAAGATTTCAGTTTATTGTTCAAGTGAGTTGTACAGTTTATAGGTTACATTAAAGGTGGAAAAAAGTTCTGAAAATTATTTATCTTTGTCTCATTTTTTACATCACAGAAACCTGACATTTTAACAGGGGTGTGTAGACTTTTTATATCCCCTGTATACTACCCATGTCTTTCCAGCAAAAATGCATGAGTGCTTATGATGTTCCTTCCCATAAATGCACAATCCTGTTCCCTGACGATAGTAAACAGTGGAGTTGTGATTCAGGGAGCTCTTTAGTTTAAAACTATTCACACATTCCAACACTCTATTGGATCTTCTGTCTATGTTAACAACATAGGAAGATATAATAACAAACAGAAATCAGGTTTAGATGTTTTTGTTATATTGTTTGTTTATGAGGACAAATATATAGACACTGTCTGATTCCCAGACTGCACATGGAATTGATATGTAGGTATGGAGTTTGAGAAAACATGTATTTTGAGCTGTGATATATTCCCTTTGACATGAATTCCAGAAAATCCTTTGATTACATGAACTGTCAGTGTGAAGAACTCCATCTAAAAATAACAAGGTGAAAATGACCAGCCCAGTCAGAGATAAAATAACAAAATCAGCTTCCCCCGCAGTATTATTTTGCACCACTAGACAGTCTGAAGGTCAGCATTATTTAACCCACGTCCTCCATGCTGGACCCGCCCCAACCTGGTACTGCACTGCAATTGAGCAATTGAGCTCTTTTATTGAAGGATGATGATCATATGAAGCTATGTATTATCAAATAGCTATTTGGCTCCTTTTTTAAATCATAATGATAACAGAAATCACCCAAATGGCCATGATCAAAAGTTTAAATACCCTGGAATGTTTGGCCTTGGTACAGACACACAAGGTGACACACACGGGTTAAAATGCCAATTAGAGGTTAATGTCCCTCATCTGCGGCTTTTTAAATTGCAATTAGTGTCCGTGTATAAATAGTCAATGAGTTTGTTAGGTCTTACGTGGAAACACTGACTAGGCTAGATACTGAGCCATGGGGATCAGAAAAGAACTGTCAAAAGTCCTGCGTAACAAGGTAATGGAACTTTATAAAGATGGAAAAGGACATAAAAAGATGCCAGGGTATGCACACTTTTGAGCACAACTGTAAAAATGCATAGTACAGCTCAGTAAAGGGTTTTACACATTATTAGTATGTATTATTTTTGTTGAATAACGTGGATGTGAGCTATAATGACATCACTATGGAGGAGAGAAGGAGGGGGTTGTCAACCATCAATGTCTATACACCTGGAAAGATGACTCACAGGAAGGGAATGGCTTGGCTGGTGGCACCAGTTATTCAAAGGGATCCAGTGTTGCAGCAGGGACAGAAAACAATGAAGTGCAAGTGAATGGCAGGATCAACCAGGTTTTTATTACTGTATATGAAACAAGTGTGATAATGATTAAGGCAATATTTATGCAATGCAATATTACATGTAAATACATTTAAAGAACTCTTGGGTTTAAGAACACTTTAAGGTGTTTCATTGGAACTCAGACAATATTTGACAGCCTTTCAAACATTGTAAAATAGGGTGAGTTGTAACATTAACAAACTAGCTTTTACTCTGGTTTTTTTTTTCTTCCCTTTTAGTTTTCTGGAGTATGGAGACTACAAAGGACATATGTATGGTACAAGTGCAGACACAGTGAAAGATGTTCTCGATACAGGAAAAATATGTATCATTGATTTGGAACCACAGGTTAGATTAACACTCTTCCATATATATTAGTCTACACAATATTATGCACGTAACTAAAAGTTAAATGAGTCAGAAATGGTGGTTGTATTCCTAACAAAAATGTTACAGTTCTTTTTAAACTTATGGTAAGCACAAATCCGAACTCTGCAAATTGTAACACATATATTTAATTATTTTCTGCTTTGTCACAGGGTATCACTGGAGCTAGAACACATGAACTTAAACCATATGTCATATTTATTAAACCACCGAGCAGAAACTGCATGAGGCATACTCGAAGAAACGCCACCATGATCACAGACTATTTTGTCAATATGAAGTTCAAGGTAACTTTGCAGTGGCCATGTTGGCTCTAATAGGTTTTCTTAAAGTGGTAATTAGCCCCAAAACAGAAATGTTTATATTATAGCTTACCAATCCTTAATGCCTAGTTTACAGCGTATTTGAAAATGTGTGGTGGAGCCGCATCCATCCCCCAAACCCCCTCCCTCCTTTTCAAGCGGGCAGTTTTTAAGCAGTTACAGCAACAGCGATTTTTTTTTCTCCTTTTTTGGGATAAAAGATTTACATAAATGAATAATAGCTGACCATTGTAAGCACCGATGTCCATGCACGCTTGATAAGAGAATGCACATTTATGATATAATTGCTCTAAAAAGCAATCATCATCTGTCTATGGGCATTTTAACACCAACAGTACTTTGAAAAAGAATCTTTTAGCTGGAAGCTGGCACAGATATAAGATGTGCATCTCTCAACAGCCTATGCCCTTTAAATGAGGCACAACACAGAACCAACGAATAACTCGTTTCCAACATTCATTTTTAATAAATTAATAAACTTCTCATTGGTTACAAAAAGAGGATACAATGTTAACAAGCTGATCTTTAATAAATCCATATTAATGCATTTCATATATAATTGGATATACAATTGACCATATACAATCCAGATGTCCATACATAATTATTGTACATTAAAATTGCTGGAATGTTTTGGTTTTTTTTTTACATTCTGCCCTGGGAGTCCACTTCACACCCAACAATGGACAAAAGTGTCCTGAAATGTGGTCCAATTGAGTAAACTGGTCCATGTATATCGTAGGTTGGCCAGTTTGCTTACACTTGTGTTTAGTGTGAACCAGTCTGATCTGTCATAATTTCTGACATGGGTCCACCAGTTTGTATCCCAGTTGCAGAGTTTTTGTTTTTCCTTGGTTTATACCTTATCAGCTATAAGGAAGAGTAGTGGGCCATTTTACCTGCTTTGGACTTTTGGAGACCAGAATGGGTGGGTAGGTATTTCAATGCCTGCTCAAAGGACTTCACTGTTTGGTTTTACCTAGAATAAAACCAATACCCTGTTCACCTCTCCAAATGTTCCCCCGGGTGCACAACTCTGCATGGCTGTGGTATGTATCATGGGATATCCTCCTTTGACTGACAGCTAGTAACACTCTGTCAGAAGCTACCATCACTGAGTTCACATCATAAAAGGAATTGCTTTGCTACACTTAGCGGAGGTGAGGCTCATTCATCTGTCCAGTACATCACCTTATAAGGTGTATCTATGTAGAAAACACTTCTGGAATGGACATCTGTGGAGGAATTATGCAGTTTCCCAACTTTGTCTCATGTGACCTTGAGTGTTCTAGGGACTCCTGCTTTGATTTCTAAATTCAGCAAAGTCACTTAAATTATTTATAATAAAATCAGTATGTAAAATTTAGTAACCTCCATTTGGGGATTTTCACAAACACTTTGGAGGTCTATGATAATTCATGCTAGCACTAAGCATTTCTGGACTTCTGTGTTTCTAAGGTAACATTCCATTAATTTGGATTAATTTTGTTTACTCAAAAAAATGTGCCTTTTCAGGAAGAAGATTTCCAGGAGATTGAAGAGTCAGCAAAGAAAATGGAGGCGCAGTTCGGACAGTATTTTGACCAAGTGTTGATTAATGATGATCTGCAGTCAGCCTGTGTTCAACTCCTGTCCATAGTCCGCCGTGCTCAAGATGAGCCACAGTGGATTCCTGCAGCTTGGATATGTTCTGACTCTTGAAACCCCCCAAACTGTTGCTAAATATAATTATTAATAGCAATTGTATGCTTTGTATCATTTTTTTTTAAAAGCCCAGCTCCAGGAATTACCAAGCTCCAGCTCTTGGGCAGCTTGAAAAAGCTCAATACAGCATTTTTTGCTAATCTAAACTGCAGCCCATTATTTACAATGTGATTGTACACACAGGTGCATAAACAAGTGCTGCGTATTCTTCAGTAAAAAAGAAGAAAAATCTGCTTTACTCTCAGTATTTTGTGCCGCTACGCTTGAATACACACAAATATGCGCACACAAGTATAAATATTTTGAATTTTCATAAATTTTGCCATAAGGAATGAAATTCTGATGCTCATAGCATGTGCAAAAGGCCTTATAGAAGACTCTTTGGGGGACTTGTCACATGTGGGCCCAATGCAAGGGTAATTTTCATGTAATTCCTGGAGTTGGGTTTTAAATCATTAGGTAAGGAATAAATCAGTTTACATAGAGATAAATATCTTTTCTTTCACAAAAACATTTTGGGCATTTTTTGCAATAGAAACAATGATAAGAAAAAAGAAGCCTATTGTATTATCTTGAATAAAGTTGATCTGAGGATTTTCTATTATTAAGTGAATTATGAACTATACATGTTGGGGGGGGGGGAGCTATTATACTGGTAAAAACTCCATAGCAGCAGTGAGCCTCACTTGCAGAATTGTATGATGAAATAATCAAAATCATGGACTTGATGAAAGCTAATCATGGATATATACGGTACAGAGTTTTTCAACAATATTTTCTTTCTTTTAGACTGTGACATTCCTGCTTGCGCCTATCTTCTTAATGCAGCAGGAAAGGGAGCACAGCAGCAGTAGCGCACCTAGCTTATTTGACACCATGGGCAAATTATTTTAACACTCACCTCCTGTATATGTCAAAATTATTTTCAATCATAATCATGAAATTAATAGTAGATTACATTATTATGTTTGAAGAAATAACTATGCTGGAGGGGGGAAACCTAAAACATTAAAGGGTTTAACTTTCATTGTTGCACACGTTAAAAGGCACATTTTTGGCCCAAAGATTATTTAAAACATCTAAAACATTATGTATTTTCTGAGAGCAAAGATCCTGTAAAAATGAAGGCTGGTAGTGGAAAAATTTAGTGTACACAAACAATTATCAATTTTTTTCTAAAATGTAGGATGAAATTGTATTGCGTAAATAGATACTGAACATATTAAGCCATAAAATTATCTACGCCCAGGAGAAGGCAGAAAAAATATTTTATCCATAGACGACACTTTAAAGCCTTTATAGCTCATCTGTTCAAATTATTAATGACTCTAGAATTATTCTTTTTTACTATGACTTGCACGACAGTGCAATTGTTGTTGGGGCATGTGTGAGCATGTATATGGGGGGGGGGGGGGGGGGGGGGGGGGCTTTTAAATTAAGGTTTTTTTTTTATTTTGTAATATTTTGAGTTTTTACAAACTTAAAATTATTTTTCCAACAAGCTCCCTATGTGCTAGCATTGGAAAGGTGACAGGTCCTCTTTTCAGACCCCTAATGTCTCTGCTGGCTGAAGCTGATGTAGCACAAATTTTGCTAGATCAGCTACTAAGCCCATGATACCACTTTGGATTTGAGAACTCTGAATCAGGAAGTGCTCAGAGCTGGACACATCTGGGTTTATTCAAGAGCTTGAGGAACAGGTGTACTTCCATCTGTTTCCACTCTTCATCCTTAAAGTATTTGTTTTTGGTCCAGGCTTCCAGAACAGGAGAGTACAGGAACCATATGGGGCAGGATCCAGACCAAGTTCTACTGGGCCACTTTAGAGTGATGAGGATCACTGGAATCTGTTCTTCCTTTACCTTGCGGAATAGTTTTGGAAGAATCCTCACTGGAGGGAATGTGTACATCAGTATGAACATAGACCAAGGTATTATCAGAGTATCCACCACAGGAGTTGGACTAGGTCACAAATCTGTCTAGTTTTTGTTGAATCTGGAGGCCATGATATCCTCATCTGGTGTTTCCCAATTCTGACAGAGGATCAGCAGACCTGCGGAGGGAGGTCAGTAAAACAATACAGTAAAACAATACTGACAGGAAGTCAGTAAAATTGATTAGGCAGTTCTACAAGCTTCCAGAAGAAAAAAAAAAAAAAAGAAAGCAAGCTGCAATAGCTTGTTTTTACCCTTTGATTGATAAGACATGTGGGACACATCATTGGCTGGCAGAGGTAATAGCAGCATACATAGCGCCGACCGCCAATGCAAAGGACAGTTCTTTAGTAATCAGTAGAAAATCTCAGAAGCAAAAAGAAAAATTATTGGCGTCAGTGATGCTACTTAACATGTCCTATTCTAGACCTTCCTCCATGTGGGATCCACAGATGAAAAAAAATTACACTGCTCAAAAAAAAAAAATTATAGGAGTATAGCGTCAATCTCCTGGGATATTGATCTGGTCAGTTAAGTAGCAGACAGGGTTGTTAATCAGTTACAGCTGCTTTGGTGTTAATGAAATTAACAATAAATGCACTAGATGGGCAACAATGAGACGACCCCAAAACAAAAATGGTTTTACAGGTGGAGGCCACTGACATTTTTTTTTACCTACTCATGTTTTGTTTTTCACTAGTTTTGCATTTGGCTAGGGTCAGTGTCACTACTGGTAACATGAGGTGATACCTAGACCCTACAGAGGTTGCACAGGCAGTCCAACTCCTCTAGGATCAATATGTGCCATTGCCAGATTCCAGGAAACAGGCAGTTACTCTAGGATTGCTGGACAGGGCCGTAGAAGGTCCTTAACCCATGAGCAGGACCAGTATCTGCTCCCTTGTGAAAGGAGAAACAGGATGAGCACTGCCAGAGCCCTACAAAATGACCTCCAGCAGGCCATTGGTGTGAATGTCTCTGACAAAACAATCAGAAACAGACTCCATGAGGGTGGCCTGAGGGCCCAACGTCCTCTAGTGGGCCCTGTGCTCACTGCCCGTCACCATTATGCTCGATTGGCATTTGCCATTGAACACTAGAATTGGCAGGTCTGCCACTGGCACCCTGTGCTTTTCACAGATGAGAGCAGATTCACCCCGAGCACATGTGATAGATGTGAAAAGGGTCTGGAGAAGCTGTGGAGAGCATTATACTGCCTATAACATCGTTCAGCACAACCGTTTTGGTGGTGGGTCAGGGATGGTTAGTAATGCAACTTAAAAGGTGAAACAAATATATGAGATAGACTTATTACATGCAAAGCAAGATAGTTCAAGCAATGATTTGTCATAATTGTGATGATTATGGCTTACAGCTCATGAAAATCCAAATTCACAATCTCAGAAAATTAGAATATTACATGCAATCAATAAAACAAGGATTGTACATAGAACAATATCGGACCACTGAAAAGTATAAGCATGCATATGTACTCAGTACTTGGTTTGGCACCCATTTGCAGCACTTACTGCCTCAATGCGGCGTGGCATGGAAGCTATCAGCCTGTGGTACTGTTGAGGTGTTATGGAAGACCAGGATGCTTCAATAGCGGCCTTCAGCTCTTCTGCATTGTTCGGTCTCATGTCTCATCTTTCTCTTGGCAATGCCCCATAGATTCTCAATGGGAGTCAGGCGAGTTTGCTGACCAATCAAGCACAGTAATCCTACGGTCATTGAACCAGGTGTTGGTGCTTTTGGCAGTGTGGGCAGGTACCAAGTCCTGCTGGAAAATGAAGTCAGCATCCCCATAAAGCTCGTCTATGGAAGGAAGTATGAAGTGCTCTAAAATCTCCTGGTAGATGGCTGCGTTGACCCTGGACTTAATGAAATCACAGTGGACCAACACCAGCAGATGACATGGCTCCCCAAATAAACACAGACTGTGGTAACTTCACACTGGACTTCAAGAATCTTGCAGTGTGTGCCTCTCCATTCTTCCTCCATACTCTGGGTCCTTGGTTTCCAAATGAGATGCAAATGTTGCTCTCATCAGAAAAGAGGACTTTGGACCACTGAGCAACAGACCAGGTCTGTTTTTCTTTAGCCCAGGTAAGACGCTTCTGACGTTGTTTGTTGTTCAGGAGCGCCTTGACGAGGAATACGACATTTGAAGCAGATGTCCAGGATCTTAAAATACCCAATGCACTAGCATATACAGTTAATACGTGTGAACCAGTGAGTGGAATGCACTGGCAGAAATTACATCACCAGAAAAGTCAGAGTGCCAGATGTGGACCACAGAGATACACAGACTATGCAATCAGAGCCTCTAGCGCAGTCAACAGGCCTGTAGATTCAAAATGTTGATGGAGAACATCAATTCCTGTGGGGACCAGGTACCCTGGACAGTCAGGGAACTGTAGACCCCACCCAAGCTAATCAGGCTTGTGTCTATCGGTACCACCTGCTAAGGAGAGAGAGGGAATGATCTTCAGAATTTCTGGATTATAGGGCTAAGATGGAAATTAACCATGCCAGTGAGTGGTTTGCCTTGTTGGACAGCAGTAGTGAGTAGTCCAGATAAAGGACCTGCTTGACCCACATCATGAGAATGTTGACCTGCAAGGGTTTCAAGTGGAAATGAATAAAGGAGACAGCCTCAAAAAGGAGGCTACCATGAGGCCAAGAACATTTATGCAGAAGTGAGTCATGCAATGATTGGTTGACCTGAAACTACAGCAATTGGACCTCAGAGAAGCAATCTTTTTCTGAGGAAGGAACATTTCTGCCTGGGTCCTAAGATCAGCCTCAATTACTTCAGGTGAAAAAAAAATGCTGGAGGGCAGACTTTTTGCAGTTGATCACCCATCCAAAAACCTTGAAAGATTTGAATTCTCCTTAGAATCTTCAAAATCAGGACCATGGCTTAGAAATCTTTCAGCAGAAGGCAGCCCAAGCACACCACAACATGGATGCTTAGAGCTTAGCAGGGCCAACGAAGACCTGGTGCAGAGGAGAGCCCGAATGGCAAGGCAACAAATTGAAAATGTTGATCTCCCACCG